TATTGCTTAAAATGCAATAACATGTTGAACCTCCATTTCAGTTTCAAGTCTGTGCTATAGCAAAACTCTTGCTTTTTTTCTAAAATGCAAAAACAGAAGAGAAATGATAAGTTTGAATTGAAGGTGGAGATGATCTTCTGGAAGCCTCTATCTTCCACCACGGACAGCGGCTGCATGTCTGTGAGGATCATATTTAAAATGAACTCAGCTGCTCACACAACCAAACATCCTGGAGCCCTTTGTACGAAGCTGTCTCTGACTCTGCCATTCACTGAAAAGAAGTAGAATAAAACGATTATTTGTTTGTTCATTGTTATGCCTTAATAAATATGTTTTAAGTGTATTTCATCGGATATTATAAAATGATTTAATATTGTTAAGGGATCTACACTTTCTGATGATCTGCTGCAATCAAAGTAACATTAATTTTTATGGAATGGAAAACTGAATGGAATCTTTATGTTAGAAACTGATTAAGATAATGTAAAAGTTTGAGTATGTACATTGAGTTCTGCAGACTTAACTTGCAATTGTAAATTGTAAAAATACATTGCTGTGTTTTATTGACTGTATTATTATTTAGTGTTGATTGTTTAGCTATAAACAAATATGTCAGTAGTAATAAATGCAGGTTAATCCCAGTTTTCAATCAAACAGCGGTAGCAAGAAGAAAAAAAACCCTCCTAACACGTGTAAATACATTTACACTTGAAGTATACACCTTGAATATCTCTTAAGTCAGGATTGAAGTACAGCAATAAATAAATGTCAGTCTGCTGCTGGGCTTTTATCGTTAACAAACTTGAATTAAGTCCTGCATAGTTTGTTTTTTTCCTCACACAACTTGCAGATAACACTGCCAGGTAGCCACTATGGTTAGTCAGTAGATGTAACATTAGCAAAAATAAGCCTAATTTTAAATCTATAACATGACAGATTATCACACATTTATGTTGACGTGTTTTGCAAAGAGAACATAAACGATACCTGTTGCAGCTGCGGACGAGTTCGATTCAAACAGCGAGTGTTTTCAGACGCTGCAACATCGATGACGTGCTGTTGTGGTTACTCCAGTTCTGCGCTGCAGTGGCTGCATTTCACTGTGTTGGCTTCTCTGTTTAGCCTAAAATGTTCCCAAACTTTTGACAGTTTTTGTTGTTTTCAGGGCTCTTCTTCTAAGCAGTCTCCGTTTCCCTCCATAGCTACAAACGTAGCACATACGCGCCAGGCGTTAGCGGTAGCGTTGTGCAACACAAAAACCTTCCGGCTGGACCACCGTGCGTTTAACGAAGCTTCGAGGCAGATAAATTTGCCTCGAGGATTTTTTGTAATCGAGGTACTCATGATTCGAGGAATCGTTTCAACACTATACTCGAGTATTTTCTTCTTTTCCAGATGTTTTATTGTTCCTATTTATTCATTTATAAAAGCAGAAAGAGCTCATTGACTAAAAAACTCCATGAACCATTAAGATGATGAACTTAGCAGTAGGAAAAGAATCGGTGACTCTTTTAGCAGCTGCGTTGTTTTTGTAGAAATCTTTGGTCTTTAGTTTTTGTTAAGAGTGTCACTGTTCAAGTGAAAGATGTGTTCTTGTTACACAGAAGTATCAACCTGCTGTACTGGACTTAGACATCCTGCGATCTTGATTGTACTTTGACGTTTGTGTTCATTTGACATTATCTAAGAAAATGTAAATCTGTGATGATTGAGCTAATGGATCAGATGGAGTGGGAGCTGCTAAATAGAGGACAGACAATACATCTTTATTTCAGAGAATTGGACAAAGATATTTGTAACAACATACAAGCAACAAACACAGAAAAGATTTTCAACATACAATTTCACAAAGTCTGAAGTTTTTTTTCAAGCTTCGTCATCTAAAGTCTGAGTTAATGGGTTTATTGTTAATCGTTCTGAAAGCCTTTCTGATCTAATTTGCACCTTTCAGAAGCGATATAGAAACATCATGTCTGCATTAGACTTTTAATGAGAACAGACTTTTGTTGCATGGACAGGAAACTTGTAAAAGGTAGTAAAAAAATAAACTGACTAGTTGTATTCACAGATTTGTAAGTCTTTACAGACGGAGCAAGTATGGATGAAATAAACTTAAATGAGCGAAAATGGTCTGAATCAAATGTAAACACACTTTCTGGGGTAAAAGTTTTTAATCCGTTTGCCCTAATCCTGGAAGCGGCTCATTGTACCATGCCTAAGCTCAACCTAACTGAACTCAATTGTTATCATTTAGGGACCCAGATGCCTCCCAGGCCCTCGAGTGTGCACTCAGATGGTAACCTGCACCCTGGGATGAGCCAGTCTCCTATGGCAGCGGACAGAGGTATGCTGTTCAGGCTCAGAAGACTGTGTCAAAGGGTTTTAAAAGTTTAATCAGTCTCTTACACTTTGTTTATGTTTATTTCAGGGTTCATGCAGAGAAACCCTCAGATGCCCTCTTATGGCTCCCCCCAGTCTGCCTCTGCGCTGTCGCCTCGCCAGTCCTCCGGTGGACAAATGCATCCTGGGATGGCCCCATATCCGCAGAACAGCTCGATGGGTGGCTACGGGCAGCAGGGAGGACAGTACGGTCCTCAAGGTACCTTAAAATTTACTCTCTGACTTAGACTATAATAGAAAATATAAAATCCTTTTAAAATAGCTGCTAGAGGTGGATTTTTCTTTAAAAGCTCAAATAGTTAATTTAATGAAAATTCCACATAATTTATGCTCTGGCAATGAAATCACCTCATGGAAATTAGCTATTAGACAAACCTATGGAATACATTTTCCTGCCTCCATAGGAACACGGACATCGCTGGTCCCTCCCTCTGACTGCTGCAGCTATTTATAGCTGTGTAGCAGAGAGGAGTCAGCTGATGTAGCACTGCCTCCTGCCAGCAGAGCACAAACTGCCACAAAGGCTTGTTGCTCGCCTGCACAGTCCTCTGCTGGCAGACTGAAACAAGAAGTGGCTTATTTCACACCATAAACTCTGATAGAATACCTAAAACAAGTTTGTATAAGCTTTGAGTGTTCACTTAGTCTTCAATTTCTGGGTTGTTGGCTACAGATTTGAGAGAATATATATTTATGGTAACATATATGCCTTTCTTGTATTACACAAAAAAGCAACAACAAAATTACAGAACAAAACTACTAGTTTAGTTTGGAAGTTTATTAGTCCATTTTCAAAGCTTGCCAGAAATAATTGCACTATAATTTAGAAAAAAAAAAATTTAACTTAAAAATGCTACAACAAAAATAATTTAACTTTTTAAAAGTTAATTTACACAACATGCGTTAATTTACACAACATGCGTTAAAGCGTCTATCTTAATATGTGGAGTAAAACTTACAGAATGATCAAGACGATTTAAAAAAAGTGAATTCAGTTTAAGGAACTCTAGGGAACTTTTTGAACAGTATTGAATATATTGCAGTTGATTTGGTGTTTTGGTTAGAAAGTTTATTTTTATTTATTTATTTATTTATTGTAAAGACTTTTTTTCTTGCTTTTTTATTTATAAATTGTGGGTAATGAGTGAAATAAATTACCCGAATAATAGAAATGTCTGTTTCTTGCAGGCTTTAGTGTTGCAGCTAATAATTCACCTTAACTACAGTTTATATTACAGTATTAATGTATTTTCTTTCTTGTCATGACTATTCTCAATTTGCAGCTAATATTTGTTGTGTTTGTTTGCCGTGGTATAATCTGTAGGTTATCCCCGCCAACCTGCGTATGGCAATATGCCCAACGCCAACTACCCTGGACCCGGGATGGGCTCCATGAACCCCATGGCAGGACAGGGTGGAGGTCCGCCATATGCTGGTATGCCTCCAGGAAGGATCCCTCCAAATCAATTGGGGGCACGTCCTTACGGCCCCAATATGGGCCCCAGCATGGGGCCAAACATGCCTCCAAACATGGGCAACATGCCACCCCAGGTAGGCTCAGGAATGTGCCCCCCTCCGGTAATGAACAGAAAGCCCCAGGATCCAACGGCCATGCAGCATCCTTCGACCAACAGGTCTGATCACACAAGGATGAATTTACTGCACATTCCTACAGCAGGTGTAACAGCTGTTTTAACCAAATCTTCTTCTTTTTCCTTTTCCCAGGATGTCTGGTTACCCCAACATGTCTCAAGGCATGATGGGTTCTGGTCCACCGTATGGCCCACCAATGAACAACATGCCTGGAATGATGAACACTCCAGGCGGGTCACCTTATCCTATGGGACCAAACATGGCCAATAACACAAGTGGTAAGTTTTATCCTTCTAGCTGTTTTTAAACAGGAGAACTTCCCTGCTCATTCCAGTCCCTTTCCTCATGTAGGTATGGTCTCTAGTCCAGAGATGAACAATAAGATGAATAACAAGGTGGACGGCAGTGGAACGCCCAAACCAGAACCCAAATCCAAGGTACAAAGTCACAAAATTTACCAAGAATATTTGCAGAACATCTGTTGAATTTTTAACGGGGCAACTGTGGCTGAGTGGTTAGAGCAGTCGTCCTCCAATGCAAGAGTGGGGGGTTCGAATCCACCGGCAGTCACATGCTGAAGTGTCCCTGGGCAAGACACTGAACCCCTCATTGCCTCTAATGTGTGTCCCATCAGTGTATGAATGTGATAAATCTCCGATTTGTCTCTTTAGAATGATTTGTTCAATTAGCTTTGTAGAGATCCAGTAGAGTGCTGTATGAATGGGTAAATGAGGCACAGATTGTAGTGTAAAGTGCTTTGAATATCTTGATCAGATAGAAAGGCACTTTATAAGTACAGTCAATTTAACATTTAACGTTCTTACATTTAAATTTTTTTCCCTCTCATCACGTAACAGAAGTCCAACTCTTCTACGACTACAAGCGAAAAGATAACACGCCTGTACGAGCTGGGACCAGAGCCAGAAAGGAAGATTTGGGTTGACCGTTATTTGTCTTTTATTGAGGAGAAAGCTATGGGCATGACCAACCTGCCTGCTGTGGGACGCAAACCACTTGACCTGTTCCGACTGTACATGTCGGTTAAAGATATCGGAGGAATGGCACAGGTTAATAGAAGCCATAACGTCTTCCAAATCACATGAGTTTACCAGGCCTTTTAATTCTCTGGCTCTTTGTGTGTCTAATAGGTCAATAAGAACAAGAAATGGCGTGATCTGGCCACCTCCTTGAATGTGGGCATGTCCAGCAGTGCTGCCAGCTCTTTGAAGAAGCAGTACATCCAGTGTCTCTATGCCTTTGAGTGTAAAATAGAACGTGGCGAAGACCCTCCCCCTGAGATCTTTACAGACAACAAAAAGAACCAAGCTGCCAAGGTGCAGCCCCCCTCTCCAGGTTAGACACTCTTGATCTGTTCTAATAAATCGAGTGCTTCACTGACTCACATCTGTGCACTTCAGAACCAGCTCAGCTTTGATCTAATTAGAGTCTTGTACCGTGTCCGTCTGCTCCTCTTGTTTCAAATTGAAGCGTCCCTCTGCTCCACAGCTGGGTCGGGTTCTCTGCAGGGTCCGCAGACACCCCAGTCCACCAGCAGTTCCATGGCTGAGGGGGGAGACCTGAAACCACCTACGCCGGCCTCCACCCCTCATACTCAAATGCCCCCCATGCCACCCGGCTCCAGGTAACTATCAGGATTTACAAACGGGTCTTACCAATGATTAGTGGGATTTATTTCTCTTTCTTTCCCCACTCCTAGGAGCAGCGTCAACCTGCAGGATCCCTTCTCTGATGGCAGCGACCCCACATTTTCCAGGAAGACCCCCAACTCCAGCTACCAGCCTAGCATGAACACACCGGACATGCCAGGTCGCATGGCCCCCTACGAACCCAACAAGGACCCCTTTAGTAACATGCGAAAAGGTGAGAGCCCTGAATGGACTCATTAATTTCTACATTTGGAGTACAAGGTCAGTTCTGAATGTTCTGTGACTGAATGTGTTGCCAGTTGGGGAGCAGTTTCTACCTGCTAGCCAGGGCCCTAACAGTGTAGTGAGCGACCAGCAGCAGCCTCCATTCAACAGGGGGCCACCTGGGGCCATGGGCGCAATGCCAATGGGGCCCCGACAGCAGTATCCATATGGACCAGGCTATGACAGAAGGTAAGATTTAATAAACACGACAGTTTAAAGAATATCAGTGTCGATGAAAACATTCTTGTGGTCAAAATGATACAATTTAAGGCAGAAAATACCCTAAAATGTTGTCTGTTTTAAAGTATTAATAGTAATAGTAAAGTATTTCAGCTCTTTAGAGCAGATTTTAAAGCGATGGGGGAAATTTCTATTGTCCAATCTTCTTTACTGTGTTGTGTTTATGAAAGGATAACATTTATTTTAAGCTATGGAATTATTTTTTTTTTTTGTTGACCGACAGTTCTAGTACTGATTTATTAAAAATGCATAAAACAGAAATGGGAAATAAGAAACAAATTACCGGTAGTTAGGCTAATAATTATATGTATTAAAAACATATTTTAGATCTAGTTTGGTTAGTTATATTGCTTACATACTTTAAAATGTCTTCATTATTTTCCAAGGCAGGAGTGAGTTTCTCTGTTTTTGATTACAATGTGTTCAGACATGTTATACAGTCCCCTCCAAACATATTGGAACAGAAAGGCAAAATCTTTTGTATTTGTTGTTTGCTGAAGACATTTATGTTTAAGATCAAAAGATGAGCATGAGACAAGAGTTTAGGATTTCAGCTTTTATTTCCTGGTATTTACATTTAGATGCGTTCAGCTCAGGACATACCACCATTTGTATTTGACCACAGCATTAAGTGAGCAAAAGTAAAGGAACAAATAATCTTAGAGTGAATAATATTTAATATTTGGTGGCATAATTCTCACTTGCAGTAACTGCCTCAAGCCTGCGACCCGTCAACATCACCCAACTGTTGCAGTCTTCATTTGTGATGCTATTCCAGGCTTTTACTGCAGCTTCTTTCAGTTCTTGTTTGTTTCAGGGGGTTCCTCCCTTCAGGAGGTGAAATGCATTCTCTTTTGGGTAAAGGTCAGGTGATTGACTTGGCCAGTCTAAAACCTTCCACTTTTTTCCCCTGATGAAGTCTTTTGTTTTGTTGGCAGTGTGCTTTGGGTCATTGTCCTGCTGCATGATAAACCTCCCAGTTAGTTTAGATGCGTTTCTCTTTTAATTGGCCGACAAAATGTTTCTGTACACACTGCTACCATCATCAGTTACGTCATCAATAAATATTAATGAGTCTGTTCCAGAAGCAGCCATGCATGCCCAAGCCATGACATGCTTTACAGATGAGCTTGTGTGCTTCGGATCATAAGCAGTTCCTTTCTTTCTCTACACTTTGACGTTCTATCACTTCGGTAGAGATTGATCTTGGTCTCATCAGTCCATAAGATTGTGGTCCAGAACTTTTGCGGCTCACCTCTGTACTTCTTCCAATCTGGCCTTCCGATTCTCAGCGCTGATGAGTGGTTTGCATTTTGTGGTTTGGCCTCTATATTTCTGCTCCGAGTCGTCTTCGAACAGTGGATCGTGATACCTTCACCCCTGCACTGTGGAGGTCGTTGGTGATGTCACTTACTGACGTTTTAGGGTTTTTCTTCACATCGCTCACATTATTTCTGTCTACTACTGTTGTTTTCCTTGGACGACCTTTTTGACATCTGTTGTTCAGCACGCCACTAGTTTCTTTCTTTTTCAGGACATTCCTAGCCGTTGTGCTTGCTATGCCCAATCGACCGACGGCTCTGATCGATTTTCCTTCTTTTCTCAGCTTCAAAATATCTTCCTTTTCTTCCATAGACAACTCTGTGGTCTTCATGCTGGTTTGTCCTCTTTAACAAGAAATGAAGTCTTCAAAGGTTTAAACCCAGGCTAAAAACTTAGACTGGTCATGCAGACTATGTAATGTTCAATGAGCAATCAAAATAAAACACAACACCTGGTCAACAAGAAACATCTGTCAGTCACATGTGCCAATAGTTTTGATCACTTGAAAAAAGGGTGGATTCAAACAAAGGGTGATATGTCTTGAGTTGTTTAACACGTGTGCCGGTAAATACCAGGAAATAAAAGCTGAAATTCTGAACTCTTGTCTCATTCTCCTCTTTTGATCTTAAACCTAAAGGTCTTCAGCTAACAACAAATACAAAGGAATTTGCTCTGCTGCTTCAATACTTTTGGAGGGGAATGTATAGTGAGCAAATTATAAGGCAGATGACTTTATTCTGACTTAAAATAATCACTATTTTAATGTACATGTCAATATTTTGCCATCAAACTGGAGCTTTAAACGCTCTTCAATAAAGTTGATGAACAGCTTTAATTCCAAGCTAAGTATCATAAGAAAAATATTTTGTATTTGCTTTCCTGTTGCTGCTGTTACTGAGCAGAATTTTTGTGCAGAAAAATATGGAAAGAGGAGAAAAAACTGTGACTCGTCTTCTTTTCCTAGACAGGAGCAAGGGATGGGCCCAGAGAGTAACATAGGATCTGGTACCCCTCAGCCAAACCCCATGATGCCCGCCAACACCGACGCGGGGATGTATTCTCCAAATCGTTTTCCACCACAGCAGCCACGGTCAGTCCTCTAAACCCTGAGTGGACAGTTTGTCCATCTTTAAACCTTCTGATCATTGTAACGTAATCAACGAGAAACAAAGAAGGAAAGTCAAAAGTTTTCACGGTTCGTCTCACCAAGTTTAACAATATATTTAGGCTGGAAATATTTTAGTTTATTGTACCTAAAAGTGGCCATGTCTTCAACGTCTTATTTTGTTAGTTGTATATTTTTTTTGGTAAAACTTAAGTCCAAATAGTTTTTGTTACATCGACATATTTTTGGTTTAGTTTAGTCTTATTTGAATGTGTTTGAAGACGTGTCGCACCGACTAAAAAGTACTTCCTATTTGACAAGAATAACCTTGTAGCACGGTGGCTCAGTTGGTAGAGCTTTTGCCTCCCAGCAAGAAGGTCGACAGTTTAAATCCCGGCCCCGGGGCCTTTCTGGGTGGAGTTTGCGTGTTCTCTCTGTGCATGCGTGGGTTTTCTCCAGGTGCTCCGGTTTCCTCCCACAGCCCAAAACATGCATGTTAGGCTGATTGGTAACTCTAAAATTGTCCCTAGGTGTGAGTGAGAGTGTGAATAGTTGTTTGTCTCTATGTGTCCCTGTGATGGACTGGAGACCTGTCTAGGGTGTCCCCTGCCTCTCGCACAGTGACTGCTGGCCACGGCACCAGTGACCCCCATGACTTGAAAAGGAAGAAGCAGATAAAGATAATGGATGGATGAACTTGGGTTACCTTAAGAGTTGCCTTGTTCTATAACCGCTAATCAGTGCAGTAAACGGAAAAATAAATATTTCTGGTTCACATTAGCTATTTATAATATACAGTAATAAACATTTAAGAATACTGGTACTACCAAGACCACTTGGATAGAAAAATAAATAGTGATTTGTTTAAACCATCAAACAGAAATTTTTAAGTGTGTTGCTCATCAAACCCACACAGGGTGTGTACTACTGAGGACTTAACTGCAGGTTATTTCCATGGTGAAACTAACAAGGGCAACATATTTGCAGGCATGATTCCTATGGTAATCATCAATACCCTGGACAGGGAACGCCACCTACTGGTTCTTACCCCAATCAGCAGCCAGGAATGTACCCTCAACAGGTAATGATCCAGCTGCACTACATCAATAACTAACTGTTCTCAGTATGCTGAAATTAAATAAATTTGAATGTTTTATTTTTTGTACAGTGAGACTTAAAGGTTTGATTTTTGAATGGCAGCTGGCACCACAATGTTTTCTGTACAGTATTTTTAATCTGTGTGTAATAAAATAGTTGTGATGTCTTTCTGTAGAGTTACAAGCGTCCTGTGGAAGGAGGGTACCCTCCATCAAAACGTCATGAAGCGGAGTACAGTGGTTCTTTCCCTGGGGGGCAACAAGCTCCGCAGCAACAGCAGCAAGGAGGCACCTCTGCACCACCTTCAGGGCAGCAGGAGCAGTACAATCAGTACAGCGGCACAGGCCCATACCCTGGTCCTGACCGCCGTCCGCCTGGACCCGGCAATCAATTCCCATTTCCCTTTGGACGTGAGCGAATGCAAGGAGCATCCGGGCCCAATGCGCAGCCAAACATGCCCCCTCAGATAATGCAGTCAGTCCCTGAGGGTCCTCAGGGAGGCATGTGGCAGGGACCTCGAGATATGAACTATCAAAACTACCCTAACCGACAAGGTGGACCTAGTGGTCCGCCACAGGGACCAGTATACCCTGGAATTAATCGCTCAGAGGATATGATGTCATCAGAACCGCGCATAAATCACGACAGCCAGTGGGCGGGACAGATGGGCCCTCGGCAGCCCCCCTACGGTCCCACTGGGCCTGGACAACCTATGCCTCGTCCTGTACAGTCCAACTACCAGCCCCCTCAGGGGGTGCAAAACCACATTCCACAGGTGTCCAGCCCAGCCTCCATACCCCGCCCCTTGGAAAGCCGAACATCACCCAGTAAATCTCCCTACATGCACGGAGTAATTAAGATGCAAAAGGCCGGACCCCCGGTGCCTGCATCCCATGTAGTACCCCCTCCAGTGCAGTCGCCTTTAATAAGGCGAGACATGCCTTTCCCCCCTGGCTCTGTAGAGGCTTCACTTCCTGTCCTCAAGCCACGACGAAGACTCACCATGAAAGAAATCGGTACGACCTTAGATGTTGATTGCAGGCACAATCCACCCACATCAGACTCGAGTTATATTGGTTTTATTTACAACTTATTGCAACAAAAGTACCTAATATTATTTTTTTGGTCTTATTTTATAGGAACCCCAGAGGCCTGGAGAGTTATGATGTCATTAAAGTCTGGTTTATTGGCTGAAAGTACATGGGCCTTAGACACCATCAACATTCTCCTACATGATGACAACAGTATTGCCACTTTTGATCTTAACACGGTGAGACTTAAAATAATTTTTTATGGGGGTTTATAGCAAATACAAAGACTTATGTGTTTATCCTGCCTTATATTTTCCTTATTTGTGTTTTCTGTAGTTGCCTGGTCTGCTAGAGTTGGTGGTTGAGTATTTCAGACGTTGCCTCATAGAAATCTTCGGCATCCTGCGGGAGTATGAAGTTGGAGATCCTGGCCAGAGGACCCTGCTTGATCCAGATGCCTTAAAACAAAACTTGGACAACATGGAAGAAGATGAACCACTATTTGAGGATATGGAACAAGAGGAAGCAGATGATGAAGATGAGGAGGTAGTGGAGCATTCAACTGTAGTAAAGGAGGAGGGTGATGAAGAGCAGTGCTCCCGTGGCCAGGATCAGAAGAAGGAAGACGACGAGAGAAAAAGCAAAAGTTCTTCATCTGAACAGACGAGCTTGTTACAACTGTTGCCTGCCCACGAGAGACCCAAGCAGGCCAGCAAATTTGACAAGTTTCCCCTAAAGGTGGTACGAAAGAAGGACCCGTCTGTGGCTGCCCAGTCTAGTAATTATGGTAAAGTTCAAGAGTTTGACAGTGGACTGCTTCACTGGAGTGCTGGAGGTGGAGACTCAACAGAACACATTCAGACTCTATTTGAGCCACGCAAAGACTTCTTGGAACCGCGAGAACGAATATCTGTGCCCACAGCTTTATTAAAGCGACGACTCCTAGAAGAAGACATACGGGAACATTGTTTTCCTGCAGAGGAAGAGAAGAAGAAGCATGAAGATGAAGAAGAAAGGCAAAAGCAGGCATCTTTAGCAGAAAAATCAACAGACTCTGAGAAGGCCGGCTCCGTAGTTAGCGGTGATGAGGAGAGGCAATCAGATTCAGATGCAAAGCCAGCTGAAAACGGTTTTAAAAGTCACCAGGAGAATAACCGACCGATTCTTTCTTCTGGAAGTATTTTAGCTCAACAGGCGCAGCAGTCTGGCACCATCCTGGAGGATGAGCCTCACAGTAAAGATGAAGGGCCCCTCGTTACACTGGCAAGCTGGCAGGATTCATTAGCACGTCGCTGTGTTTGCGTCTCAAATATTATCCGCAGCCTCTCGTTCGTACCAGGCAACGACCATGAGATGTCCAAACACCCTGGGCTACTGCTGATGCTCGGACGTCTGATCCTCCTTCACCACTGGCACCCCGAGCGCAAACAGGCCCCACTCACCTACGAGAAAGACGAGGAGTCCGATGAAGGTGTGGGCCAAAAGGACGAATGGTGGTGGGACTGCTTGGAGCTGCTGAGAGAGAACACGCTGGTCACATTGGCAAATATTTCAGGCCAACTGGACCTCTCCATCTACCCTGAGAGCATCTGCTTACCCCTGTTGGATGGTCTTCTCCACTGGTCTGTCTGTCCTTCAGCAGAGGCCCAAGACCCTTTCCCCACTCTGGGACCCCATAGTGCTTTGTCACCTCAGAGACTGGTCTTGGAAACGCTAAGCAAGCTAAGCATCCAGGATAACAATGTGGACCTCATCTTGGCCACTCCGCCCTTCATTCGGTTGGAGAAGCTCTATGGGAACCTGGTGCGACTAATCGGAGACAGGAAGGTCGCAGTCTGCAGGGAGATGGCCGTAGTTTTACTGGCCAATCTGGCCCAGGGGGACACTATGGCAGCCCGATCAATTGCCATGCAGAAGGGCAGCGTGGGCAATTTGCTGGGTTTCCTGGAGGACAGTCTGGCTGCCACCCAGCTTCAACAAAGCCAGAGCTCTCTGCTGCACCTACAGGGGATGCCCTTTGAGCCCACAAGCCCCGACATGATGCGGCGAGCCGCCCGGGCTCTGCTCGCTTTAGCTAAGGTGGAGGAGAACCACTCAGAGTTCACACTACACGAGTCTCGACTCCTCGACCTTTCAGTGTCTCCGCTAATGAACTCGCTGGTTTCTCATGTTATCTGTGATGTACTCTTTTTGATCGGCCAATCATGACAGCTGTAGGGAGCTGTAGCTCCACGTATTGGGGAGGGGGTTTGTCCCCAACCCACTTCCTCCCTGGCGAATCTGGCTTCTGTGTGGCACAAAAAGTTCAAGTGACTGGCTTTAATTTATGAAAATCCTTCCGAGTACATTCTGTGAGCCCTCGATAGGCCAACCTTCCTCGGGGAGGGCCGTCACAGAGCTGTAGTGGGGAAAATGCCGACAGACACTACACGCAATGTGAATGCCAACTGGATTACGGAGCAGAGCACCGTAGTGGCGAGACTGTTCTGCACTTGGGGAGGGGGAGGGGGGAGTACTTTTTAATAAAGATAAATAAATGAATAAATAAATAGCTGAAAAACAAAAACTGTAACCAAAGTTGCTGTCTCGTTTACAGTGAGTTTGGGAGACACGGTGTGCCCTAGCTCTCCCCTGAAGGGGCACAGTGAGTCTGTAACAGGTGAAGCAGACTGACGAGCGACCTGCTGGTTTTAGTTGCTGTTGATGGATCCTCACCAGTCAGCCCGACGGTAAACCATGCGGTCGATAAACACCTTCACCGGGGAGGCCTGTGCAGTGTGCAGTAGATTGTAGGACATTTTCTGTACCGTACTGCTCTTGAAGTGTAAGCATTCTGTAAAACATTTCTCACAGAAGCTGACGACGCAGCTCTAGAGTTTTAAGGTCATTTTAGTTTGGTGTTAAACAGAAGAATGGCTTTTTTCCCCAAAGTATCGAGAACCTACAACACCCTTACCTCCTCTTATCCCTTGATTGTATGAATACCCTTATGAAAAGAAATCACCTCTTAGGACTGGTTTTCAACTTCAGATACAGCTTTGCTGTGTTGTATATATATAATGTTGTACATTATACTTCCTTTCTCTGTCCGTCTCTGTCTGTGTCACTATTCTCACACTTGTTATTGGTGCGGGATGGAGGCAGACACGTTAAGTTTGTTCTTGACCTCCAGTCCTAGCTGATTATAGACCCACTCCTCTGGTCTCCACAGCTCTGTAGTACAGCAGACACGGCCTAAACTTGTAATATTCTGGTACAATGAGAATAAACTAGATGAAGTACACATTTGACAAATTTTCTCCAATCATGGATTCTGCATATTTGTATTTCAGACTATGTAGCTAAGGCATCATGTAAATTCCTCCCTTTCCCCTTTTTTTGGCTCAAGGAATATCATTTATTCAGTATGAAATCTTTATACTATATGTTCCACGTGGTAAGAATAAATGTACATCAAATCTTCCTAAGCTGTTTGATGATTTTATTCTTTTAAGAATGTTTAGCTCTTCTTGGATAAACGGAGACATTACACAATTTTGTTTTAAAGAATGTTTTTCATTTTTGTCAAGTATTCATTGCTTATATTCTCTATTTGGCGTTTAAGTCAAATGCTCACACAGATGTTAGACAGATTTTAGTATTGTCAGTCTGGTGTAAAACAGTTGTGAAACCTTCATGTGAGTTTGCGTGTTGTAGCGACCCCTGAGGAAGGAAGCAGCCAGAAGAAGAAAAAGATCAAATAAAAATATGTGCTAGGACTAAAATTCACCAGAAATTAGTAATGGTGCGGCTGTGGTGTAGAGGTAGGGCAGCCGACTTGGGACCAGAAAGTCACAGGTCCAAATCCCTGCCATGCTCACATGTAGTGTCCTAGAGCAAGATACCCAATTCCTAACTGCACCCCTGGGCACCCGCCTCGCCACTTGGGTGTATCATGTGTGATGGGTTAAATGCAGAGCACAAATATTGTATAGAAACATACAAAGATGACAACACAGCACTTCTTTTTCTTCTTTTTCTTCTAAGCAAACAGGAAAAATTAAAAAACAGAATTCACCACAATTATCTTAAGCAACTCCTCTTCTGGAGATTGCATTGTTTACAAAGTTCCACAACAAAGTTCACTAAATCTGCATCACTGGCGAGTTGCAGCGTTTAAGCAAGTATAAACTTGACTATTTTAATCGCCCATATTTTTATGAAAATTATTTTTTTGCAATCACTGCCTACGGGCTTTTATTTTGAAGGTAGTTGCTCACAGGAAGTCGATTTCAACAGCGTCAAACATGCTTGAGACGAATGTCCTCAGCATTTGGATAAATCTCCACTATTACTGTTTAAAGCAATAAAATTCTAAAAATATTTTGGGAAAACATCCGAGCCCATGAGCTTTTATTTTTGAAGTCGGAGTAATTTGCGGAAGTAATGGGCGTATTTCAGCAAGCGTAATAAACCTGCTGCTTTAAAGCGATTATTCTCAGTTACAACAGTTGAGTAAGACGCCCATTTTTCTTGATGTTTAAACTAATAAAACGGTCAAATAAAAAACCTTGGGCAGCTTTTTAAGGAAACCCCCGTGAACCACTGAACCTTTATTTTGAAGTTGCAATTGCTTACCGGAAGTGAAGGCGTCCTGCAGAATGAGGATGTGAGGACAAAGATTGTAGGTGAGCGTTAAATATGCAGCGAATGGACGGACGTTTCCGTGGATAAAGAGCTTTCTACCAACATTGGGATAAACATTTAAAACTTATGAAAGCCCCAATAGCCTAAAATTGTTCAGTTATGTGTAGAGGACAATCCAAAGCTAAGTGGCTCGTCGTAGCAGCGGCAGTGCGCATGGCTGCTGCAGCTGGTTTTTCCACGTTGTTTTGTCCGTCTCGTCAATGACCATGGATGTCAGAGGAGTTCTGGAGTTTGCCACGGTCACTAGGGGTATCTCCTTGTTTTTACAGGTACGTTTAAGGGCTGTTGTAATTTACATGGTTTACAACGTCCGAGCAGGTCATATTTGACCCAAATATGTCACCGTATGCTAAAATGTGTATATATATATATATATATATATATATATATATATATATATATGTATATATATATTAAAGTGTAAGCATTTCTTCAGTGTATTTGAGGTCATAATGTGGATTATTATCCTTCAGGCTGTCCTGAACGCTGCCATCCCTGATCATGAAGCTGATGCCTTCAGGCCCCCTCGGACAGAGGAGCCCTTGTACTTGGACTCTGTGGTGGAGTGGCTGTTCGGTGGCCTCTCACACTGGGATGCAGAGCATTTCCTCTTCATCGCAGAGAGAGGATATCTCTACGAGCACAACTTTGCATTTTTCCCCCTCTTTCCCGTCATCCTGCGGGGGCTGGCGGAGACGCTGCTGTGGCCCCTCAGCGGCTGGCTGAGCATGCGGGGGCGGCTGCTGCTCGCCGTGTCTCTGGGTAACAGTGCTCTCTTCCTGCTAAGTGTGGTCGCCCTGTACGCCCTCAGCAGAACAGTCCTGCAGGACAGAGGTCTCGCTCTGCTCTCCAGCCTTCTGTACTGCATCACACCCGCCAATGTTTTTATGACGGCCGGCTACTCGGAGAGTCTGTTCGCTGCGCTCACGTTTGGCGGTCTGTTCCTCCTGGAGAAAGGCTTCACCTTCAGAGCCTGCTTGGCCCTCAGCATCGCCGCCGCAGCACGCTCCAACGGACTTGTTAACATGGGGTTTCTTCTTTATCTCCCCTCGCTGCACGCCATTTCACAGATTCGCGTTTATCGTGCAACAAGAAAAGGCTGCAGTAAAGTCCTGCACTACATCTGGGTCCTCGTCCGCCTCCTGCTCACCTCCTTCTTAGGGACAACAGTTATCGCCCTCCCCTTCTGTGCGTTTCAGTACTACGGCTACAGGACGTTCTGCACCCCGTCCACCTCCCTGGAGCAGGTTCATCCTGCTCTTCTGTCTCTGGCTGAGCGGAGGGGTTACCGTGTCCCAAATGAAAACGGTCCCCCTCCCCTGTGGTGCATGAGACCCCTTCCTTTGCTTTATTCACACATTCAGGACGTGTACTGGGACGTGGGCTTCCTCCGCTACTTTGAGCTGAAACAGATACCCAACTTTATTCTGGCTTTGCCTATGGCTACGCTCGGCATTGTGGCCATTTATGCATATTTTCAAGCCAATCCCGAACTCTGCTTAAGACTCGGACTTTGGGACACGGGTGCAAAAACGGGACTGGACAAACCCACACCGGGCTTCTTCAATCCCAAAGTCTTTGTGTATGTCGTGCATTCAGCAGTGCTCCTTGTGTTTGGGACGCTGTGCATGCACGTACAGGTAAGAAAATCAAATTGTTGCCATATTGTGGATTGTCTTAATTAATTTTGAACTGATGGATATTTATTTTTTTTATCTACTTTTCCAGGTTTTAACCAGATTTATGGCCTCCTCGTCTCCTGTGCCCTTCTGGATAAGTGCTCACCTGCTCCTTCTGAACGAGCCTCTTCTTCATCGAAGGAAAACTCCGAATCCCAACGTGCATTTACAGACTAATGTCAAAAACAGTTGCAAGCACAGTCCCCGTAACCCCATCATTGCACTGCTGCCACAATTTAAAGTCTGTTCTCCAACCACTCAGTGCATTCTGGGATACTTCCTCTCATACTGGCTGCTGGGCCTCGCACTTCACTGTAATTTCTTGCCATGGACTTGACTTTTTACTCTTCGGATTATTTTATTTACGTGTAGAACTGGGATAAAATGTTTTTTCCAGAACAATTATTAAAAGTTGCTGAGTTTTGATACAACCTTGCCTGCAGAAATCATGTTAATAATTTTTAACTGCAGTAACAATAAACTGAATTAGTCATAAAATAAATACTATAGGTACATTTTTGAAGGGTTTATTTCATCATTGGCCAAAAATAAACCTATTGTTTACACTTTCACTTTTCTTTTGCCCAGTTCTACACAGAATCTTGCAACAAAAATTGTTTAACATGGATTTATTCCCAAAATGTGCAAGTTTGATTTGCACATCTTGGTCAAACGTGATGTAATTGAGAACGAACTCGAAGGCTGTTGCATGGACTGAAAACATTGACTTGTATAAGCTTTAAAATCTGAATGACTCGGTTTAGTTATTTGCGCTGCATGTTTAAAGAAATCATACAAAGCCTTTGATCCTTCAATAAGAATGACAAATAAAATACTTTTAAGGAATATTTTTGTGAGACACAGTACAAACAAAACCTCAGGAATTAAACTGGACCCCACTGTGTCCCAGCACACTAACAAGGGAAGGGAAACACTACTTTATTTAAATTCAGAATCGGAATACTTCATCAATCCCAGGAGGAAACCGACTTCGTTACAGTCGCTCCATGCAAAGATAAAAATGTAAACATGCAAAGAAAATCAAAGTATACATGCATTTCAAGGTTTCTTTATTGTCATTCACATCACATGTACAGTATGTGGTGGAACGAAACGACACAGTGTCCCAGTTACATCCAACAAAATTATAAAATGTAAAAGAAAAACAGTATTAAGATCTAAGATATGAACTAAATTAAACGTTAACTAAAAATACGCTAAGCACTAATAGTACAAAAACATTACGCCGAACAGCAGCACGAACGTGAATCTGTGTGAGCAGAGGAGTATGAATGAACAGCAGCATGAAATAAATCAGCAACATGATGTGATTTTTCACAGTGATTATTCTGGTTAGAGATTCATGAGTCTTAACAGCTTCAGGGTAGAAGCTGTTCCTCAGTCTAGTAGTTCTACACTTAATGCTCCTCAACCTCCTGCTTGAGGGGAGCGGGGCAAAAAGTGTGTGCTGGATGAGTGGGGTCCTTCATGATACAGGTGGTCCTCTTCCTGCATCTAGAGGTGTAGATGTCTGATGGTGGGGAGGCGGACTCCAACAGACTTCTGTGCAGCCTTCACCACTCTCTACAAAGCTTTTTTTTCTGCAGCTGTGCAGCCTCCATGCCACACGTTGATACTGCAGCACAGGATGCTGCTGGATGCTTGCATACATAATTGCATAGTCTAAGTCTTAAACCTTGAAAACATTTTTTTTTCTGTCTCATTCAAGGATATTCGTGGGTAAGGCCCCCTTACCAATCGTTTTGGATATTTTACTTGATGATTAAATAAGGGACTCAAAGTTTGATAGATAAACAATTTATTTAAACGAAAAACTCAGTTTCACACAGTTCAGCTAGTTTAGTAATTTTTATTCTAAGGGTAGCAATGGTACTTTTTAATAATTTGGCACAGATTGTCTTTAAAAGTAAGCATTTTTTTTTATAACACTTAGATATTTTGACTCCAGGCAGGTTTGTCTGGAGCACTGAGGCATTAACTAACAATAACATTTACAATCACGAAACTTCAGTTTCATTTTTTGCACGTTTTTATTCACTACACCTTGTAATATTGTGGAATACTAAACTTTTTTTTTCACTTTTCATGTGTAAAGTCTATAAAATGTCTGTCATGATCTTTAAAAATAGTCAGCCCAAACAAAACTAAAACAAGGACATGCTTCAAACAGTGAAACAGGATTTTACATGGAGAAAAATGAAGCTGTAATGAGTTGAACATCATTGGATCAACCAGAACTAATGGTGTAGCAGGGCAGGGGCACTCATTAATGACACATGCAAATCACAGCAATCAGCACGAATTACTACAAAAAAAAGTGTAACTTTACATTGTCAGAGATGAGAAAAAATGTATAAACTGTCAAAAGTTGTATTTCCAGTCACAAAATAAAACTTTTTTTTTTTTTACAATTTTTTAAAATATGTTCCTTATAACACGATTATTGAGACCTTCAAATATGTTTACTAGTAGCAAATCTATTTTAGATGTTTGTCATTTTAGTTCTGATTTGTAAGAATGTCATTGACTTGATATCAGAGGTGTATAGTTAAATTATTTGGTACAACGGCATGCTTTAAAAGACTCGCGTGGATAGATTGTATTATATAATACAACACCTTGCCTTAAACCTACGTCATTACGTCGTGACGTACATTGTAACGGGCGTTTTGATCCGTTGTCTTGCAGTTTGTGCTCAATTTGTTATAGAAGTCGAGTTAAATGAACAGAATGAGTGTCGATAAATACACGCGGTTGTAGTTTAACTACCAAACATGGTCGTTACCTCGGCGTCAACTCGAGAATTGGCTGAACTCATAAAACTGACGTACGGAGAAGGAGAGCACCTTATGCTAGCTTCAGACTGAACGGCAACAGAAGCAGCAGCTAAACACAAATGTCCAGTTTGTGAGTCGTTGGAGGATTCTCTCTCAAAGGCGGACAGCTTTTTGGTGCCTTTTATCGTCAGCTGTGTGTTTTTACCCAATGAAGAATTGTGAGTACCAGCAGATCGACCCACAGGCGCTGTCCGTGCCGCCGCTGTCGGCGCAGAACCACACCGAAAAGAAAGCGCAGCGGTTGCGGAGGAAATGGGAGTTGTTTCCGGGGAAAAACAGATTCTTCTGCGATGGAAGACTCATCCTAGCCAGGCAGAGCGGGGTCTTTCCTCTGACACTGGGCCTTGTTGTCGTCACATGTGGCCTTTTCTTTGTATTCGAGTGAGTAACTTGGAAAACTCTCGTGTTCGACACTTTTCAGAGGCCCTGAACACACCGCGTTGAGTGGATTGTATTTCATTATAATAAATGTAACAACTAACTTATTTTTTTTTCTAACAGTTGCCCATTCCTGGTGGAGCATTTGACCATCTTTATACCTGTGATAGGAGGGGTGCTTTTCGTGTTTGTGGTCCTCTCCCTGCTGAGAACCAGCTTTACAGATCCAGGCATCTTACCCAGGGCCACCGCAGATGAAGCTGCAGACATAGAGAGGCAGATCGGTAACTCATTCAACACACGTCTTGTGGGACAGATGGGGTTAAAGCTTTGCCATATGGAGTCCATGTTGGTTATTGAACCACAGACCTAAGCAGCTTATTCTCTGTCATGACCAAGGAGCACAAAAGCAGGCATAGGTTGATTGTAAACATTTTATATATGTGTTAATTTCATGACAAAGCTTCTTTTAAAATGTGTTTCAATCTTATTGAGTGGCTCCTCTTTGTGCTTCCTCATTTTAAGACACGTCAGGGTCCTCTACATATCGCCCCCCACCTCGAACCAAGGAGATCCTCATCAACCAGCAGGTGGTGAAGCTCAAATACTGCTTCACTTGTAAGATGTTCCGCCCGCCTCGAACCTCCCACTGCAGTCTGTGCGACAACTGTGTCGGTAAGGTTCACATTTTCTGTCAGCAGTTGTCACGTTTGACGCCACATTCAAAGTCAAACGCAGGAACACTGCGTGCAGATGAAAGGCAAATGCGAGCAATAATGGTTTTGCCTGTTTGTGTATTTTTCTGCCTTTTTGCAAATTAGCTCCTAAACCACTTTCTGGGTTCAAAATTGTTGAAAATTAATATTTTAATGTGCCTCTAAAGCTGATTAACGTTTGATCAACCCGCTTCAAGATGACCACCACAGTCAACCGACCAAACAAACACAACAACTTCGAGCACTAACAGATCACAAGATTTTGTGTGATCGTGTAAAAATCTGTAATTTGATGAAAACTGCTGCGACTCGGTCATTTCTCAGCATAAGATTAGATTAGATAGAACTTTATTTATTCCTTGGGAAACTTCAAGGAAATTAAAGTTCCAGCGAGTGTCAGAAAGTGACAGCAAGTATAAATAATTAAAAGTAAAATAATATACACACATACACTGCCAGACCCCCCAAAAAATGTTGCCACCAAAGAAAAGGTCTCACTAATATTTTGTTGGCCCTCCTTTAGCTTTGATTACGGCATGAATTCGCTGTGTCATTGTTTCGATAAGCTTCTGTAATGTCACAAGATCTATTTTCATCCAGTGCTGCAATAATTTTTCACCAAGATCTTGCATTGATGACTAGACACTAGGTGTGATGGTGCATCACTTCACCTGCTTCTCTTCTTACCCTGATGCATCCATCACTCTGGAACAGAGTAAATCTGGACTCATCAGACCACATGACCTTCTTCCATTGCTCCAGAGTCCAATCTTTATGCTCCCTAGAATATTGAAGTCATTTTTTCCAGTTAGCCTCACTGATTAGAGGTTTTCTTAAGGCTACACAGCTGTTCAGTCCCAGTCCCTTGAGTTCCCTTCACATTGTGCGTGTGGAAATGCTCTTACTTTCTTACTAAACATAGCCCCGAGTGCTACTGTTGTTTTTCCTCCATTTGATTTCACCAAACGTTTAAATAATAATCGCTGATCACCGTCATTCAGGATTTTTTCCAGCCACATTTCTTCCTCGAAGACGATGGGTCCCCACTATCCTTTCAGTTTTTTAATAATGCGTTGGACAGTTCTTAACCCAGTTTTAGTAGTTTCTACAATCTTCTTAGATGTTTTCTCTGCTTGATGCCAATGATTTGACCTTTCTCGAACAGACTGACATCTTTTCCATGACCACGTCATGTGTCTTTCAACATGGTTGTTTAAGAAATGAGAAGCAACTCATTGCACCAGTTGGTGTTAAATAACTTGTTGCCAGCTGAAAGACAATCACCCATGCAGTAATTATCCAACAGGAGGCTCGTATCTATTTGCTTAGTTAAATCCAGGTGGTGACTTTTTTTATGGCCAGGCAGTGTGTATACAGATTTAGCAGAATGTAATACTGTATAACCAGTTACTGGCTATTTAAAGGTGGTGGCCGCTGCTGCTTCTCACCCTCTGTTCTTTCTGTTACCCCCCCACAGCGAGGAGTTGTACAGTCTGATGGCAACTGATGTGATGACTTTTAGTTTAAAAACTGGCATATAAGGTGGAGGGAGATGTGCATTTCTTCTAGGACAGCCGTGAATTTAAACGGACTGAATGCTTTGCACATTTTTCTCCTCTCCTTTAGGAGTGCGTGTGCATAAGAATGACACTTTAAGTCGGCACCTGAATCCTTCACAATGGGAATGAAAATCCCTAACGGTTTGAGGAAGATTTTTAATTTGAAATCAATGAGCAAAGTCAGTAGAGACAGGTTTTGTGTGTCATCCATTACAAATTGTAAACCAGAACAGTTGCCGTTTACTAACGCACGTTTTACAAAAACACAAATGAGTTCAGTTAACCCCCAAAATGTCTTTTAATGATGTAGAAATTATTAGACGCGTAAAAATTTAAATGAAGAACGTTGAAAATTAGACCGCCATAATGGGTTTAAATAGCCTTTTTTTCAGTCAGCCACTCCCAAATATAGTAGTGTTGGGGGGGGGGGGGGGTGTCATTGGTTTAGATATTTTTGGTTTTTGTCTCAGAAAGTACCAAATGGTCTAAACTTCCAGGGATGCCACCAAAGCGAGGGCAACAGGTGGCAATGGCCACCTTTGATTTTAGTGTGCCACCAGCACGTTCAGTGGCCACTTAAAACAATTGTGCAGTTGTCAAATTAGACAGCTATAATGGCTTTAAATAATTATTTATTTTTGTATTTTCTGGTCTACCAACTGTAAACTGCTGGTAGGCCAGACCACAACTCTTGCTGCAAAGCCATTTGGCATCATCTTCCTGAACTAAGTCGGCTGTAATCTGTAGATGACATCATCTGGATGGCAACTTTGTTACTCAGAGAGATTATGATCATTCAGAGTTGTCTTATTTCTTTGCCTTTACTCGTGTATACTAAAATGTCTCTGGGTTCAGGGGATCAGTTAATTACAGGTGCATCTAAAAAAAAAAAAATTGAATATTGTGAAAAAGTTACTATTTCTTTTGTCAAACATTTCAGAAAATGAAACTCTCTTTAAATAGATGCATTACACATAATGTGAAATATGTTGTCAAGCCTTTATTTCTTGTGATTTTGATGATTATGTCACAGATAATTAAAAAAAAGCAAAATTCAGTGTCTCAGAAAATGAGACTATTGTGACGACGTGGTGTCCCTGATCAAGACGCCTAATCCTTAATTGCTCTCCGAGTGCTTACATAGCTGCCCACTGCTCCACCTGGATGTATATCTCACGTGTGATGGGTTAATTAGAGAGCTAATTTCATCATTGTATGGGCACATTATACAATAATGACAACACATAGCACTTTACTGTAAACTCATGATGTCACACCCTAATCAGCTGATTACCTCCTGGACATGAGTTACAAATGTGTCGTTTCTCAAATCGAGCCACTCCTGAACCAGAGACGATGTCAGAAGCGTATTACCTGCTGACGAGACGCAGAACTGGACTGTTGCTCTTCAGATGAAAGTAAATGTAGTTTTTTTTATTATCTGTAAGCCATAATCATAACAATTCTAAGACATAAAGACTTTAAATATTTCACTCTGTGTAACTGACTCTGAATGAGTTCCACTTCCTCGAGTGACTGACAAAAATTGAAAATTTTTCACAATATTCAGTTTTTTTTAGATGCACCTGAATATGAACTGTAGATGAAGTATTTAATATTTAGTCATTTGTTTTCCTTGTCTTAACGCCTCACTGACATATAAAAATGAACAAATATTCTGTTTTTACACTTGATAAAAATACAAATGAAATACATTAAATTTGTGTTATTTACATCTTTTGCCTGAAGAATATTGCAAAAATAATGTTTTTGACCTTTTTGTTGTTTGTAAACCAATTTAAAAACTGATTTAAAGGGCTACTAATGTGTTAATTTTATTTTCAGAACGGTTTGACCACCACTGCCCTTGGGTGGGAAACTGTGTGGGAAAACGCAATTACCGCTTCTTCTACAGCTTCATCGTCTCCCTGTCCTTCCTGACTTCTTTCATATTCGGCTGCGTCATCACTCACATCACCCTGCGTGAGTTCTCTTTACCGTGTCGAAACGACAAACGCTCACGGCGACATCGTGTTCTCACGTTTCTGATTTTATTTCTCTCCAGGTTCCCAAGCAGGTAAAAGCATTGTCCAAGCCGTTCAAGAAAGTCCTGCCAGATATCCTTCAAGTCAGCAGAATTTTTATAGTATCAGCAGGTTTATGATTAAACCAGAGCTTTTGAAATTTGCTGCAGTTTTGTCTCAAATGTACTATTGATGAAACATTTCCTGCCTGATAGAGCTGCACCAGCAAAACTCTCAGGCAGATGAGTCTGTTGTGCAGATTTGTTGCTTTATGACCATATGGGAAGATTTCAGTCACTTGACAGTTATAGAAATAAATGCACAATTCCAAAGTTGTTTAATTTGTCGTTCATAACGTAAGTGTGAAATAATGGGTGAGATGCATCACATGGACATCAGTGTGTGTTGGTGTCTATGTCTCTCTGACTTTAAAGTGTATTTATCGAGTGGTCCTTGTCCTTTTGTTGCGCAGCTCGTGCATTTAGACATTAGTTTTCAAATTAAAATGCACTGCACAAATCCTTGTGGGCATTTGGCTTTGAAAAGTCATAACCACATCATGAGCCAGTTTATTTTGTATTTTGCAGAATAATAATCACCAAGACAGCATGTCGTTTATGTGTTTGAATGAGATATTTACATTTCTTAGGTTTTCTGTCGGTGGTGGGGCTAATCAAACGGCTCACTGTGTGTGATTTAAGAAAACATGACGGCAGGCAAAATATTCTGCTTGTTTTAGTGATTTTGAAGTTTTTGTTGTAGTCAACAGTCGTACTATTTCTCAGAACTGTAGCTGTTTGTGTCTTCATTGATCAGTAGCTGTTTGTGTCTTCATTGATCATTGTAAACACTATTACACCTTGACGTTTTCTTCTCCACTGTGGTGGAACTGGTCATTTGTTTCTTCTCCATCTGGTCTCTTCTGGGCCTCTCAGGCTTCCATACCTACTTAGTGGCCTCCAACCTCACCACAAACGAAGATGTAAGTTCATTTTCCTATTTGTAAAGAAAAAAGAATTGTGAATTGTGCACAGGACGTGCACATTAACCGTCATATTTATTGACAGATTAAGGGGTCTTGGTCGAGTAAAAGAGGCGCAGAGGATTCTGGGAACCCGTACAGTCATAACAACATTGTAACCAACTGCTGTGTGACGTTATGTGGCCCCATGCCTCCAAGGTGAGCAACACTGACAGAAACTCATGAGTATATAAAATTGTTATCGTCGTGGTAACAAAATGGCCTGTTTTGTCCTTCAGCCTGATTGACAGAAGAGGTTTCGTTCCTCCCGATGAGCTGCCGGCTGCTCCGGCCTCAGAGACGGAGTTGCTTCCCTTCACAGCCAAGAACGATGCAAACATGGTAGGATGAACCGGCTCGTGGTCCCTCTCCAGTCCCGACTGCCCCATAGCTGCTGTTTGTTTGTTGTTGTTTTTTTTTTAGCTTCCCTTCTGTACTGACTTCCTCACCCACATGTGTCCCCCACCCCAACATCCAGACCTCCACCTTCAGTCCCTCCAGTAGTGCTGAACCCATACGGTCCTGGTTCTGTGTTCCCAGTGGTCTGGATTTTGCACATTTTCCCGTGGATTATCTACTAAAACAGACTTGTTGTTTTTCTCCTGCTAATTCACAACCGAGTTCTCCACAACGACCTCAGTACAGTTTTCTGAGTAAAAACGACAGAGGCTTGAAAAGTTTTAGAAAAAGTTTTGAAATCTTATTTTGTTTTCTGCTGATGGTGTAATATTTATGTTCAGTGTAGTTTCTGAGTTGATCTCATTTACTGTAGAACAGGAAGCCATCTTGTTTGTGGCTCGTTTTGATCTGTTATTTTTAGACACCAAGAAATTCAACTCATTGCTGTATAAAGTTCTGTGATGCTGAACTACTGAGTTTTCTGTTGGAGTCCAGGTTTGTGCACACAAACCAGCTTTCTGTTACTCTTTTTAATAAAGTAAAAAATATTTATTTCATAGTGGCACTTTAATACTATCCTTTATTTTATGCCTTGAATATATTTAGTTTGCCTTGTTTGGTTTATAAATTGCATTCTATTTATTTTTACATGCAAAGACTTCTTTTAGATGTTTAATAAACATTATTTTTGTAATTTTCTGTTTGTTTTATTTAGTTTACTTTTTAAATTAATGTCTGTACCCAGTCATGAACAGGCGTGAAGAAGTTTTGAAGATGTTTTGTTTATCTTTGTGGATTTTTACATTTCAGCAGGAGTTGGTTGAACACGTTTTTACAGTTGAAACCAAATGTTTTCATACGCTGAATACAAAGACACAAAACCGTTATTTTCTCACGCTGACATTAAATCAGACTAAAACTTTTCTGTTTTAGGTCAGGATTCCCTTTTCAATTTACTAAATGCCCACATAATGGTAAATGGACTGTGCTTATGTAACATCTTTCTATCTTATCAAGACACTCAGTGCTTTACAATCTGTGCCTCATTTACCCATTCACACAGCACTCTACTAGATCTATACAGTTAATTGAACAAATCAATAATTTTCAGTCAGGTCATCTGGACAGTTTCTTTTTTATAGAGACGTTTCGCCCGCTATCCAGAGGGCTTCATCAGGAGTTCCAGTAAACAGTTTCCCCACCAAGCAGTAGACTCCTTAAGTGGACCAACCAGTTTTGCTGGAGCTAAGATGGTTTCTGGGGCCGTCCTGTCCCTCGTCGACTCCTCCCAGTCAGGCAGCCACAGCCAAAGAGGTTCAAGGCAAAAACTCAGCTCCAGCAAAAACTGGTTGGTCCACTTAAGAAGTTTACTGCTTGGTGGGGAAACAGTTTACTGGAACTCCTCAGACTGATGAAGCCCTCTGGATAGAGGGCGAAATGTCTCTATAAAAAAGAAACTGTCCAGATGACCTGACTGAGAATTATTGGATTTGGTACTTGGCTGATTGAGCATGAACTTTGTTGAATTGGAACAAATCATTGTAAAGAGACTAATCAGTGCTTTATCACATTCATACACCGACGGGACACACATCAGAGGCAATGAGGGGTTCAGTGTCTTGCCCAGAGACACTTCAGCATGTAACTGCTGGTGGATTTGAACCCCCAACTCTCTCTTTGGAGGAGGACTGCGCTAACCACTCAGCCACAACTGCCCCATAATGAGAACCTTTTTTTTTTTTTTTTTTTTCCAAAGTTTCAAGTTACTAAGATTATCTTTAACAATCTGGGACAGTCCAGACGATGATGTCATGGCTTTAGGAGCTTCTGATTGTTAGCTGACAACAATCTGTGGATCCATTTTAAGGCAAACTTTAAAGACACTGCTTCTTTGTCTGACAGTGTGGAAAAATTAAAAAATCAGCTAAGACGTCAGCAAGAGTATTGTTGACCTCCACAACTCTGCTTCATCCTTGGGTACAGTTTCCAGATGCTTGAAGGTTCATCTGCTCAAACATTTATGCACAAGTATAAACACCACGTCCTGTCCTGTCTTCATTTAGCTCAGGAAGGCGGCAGGTTCTGTTCCCAAGATAAACTCGTTTTAGTGTGAAACTTGTGCATCAACCCCAAAACAAAAACAAAAGACGTGAAGATGCAGGCTGACGCTGTCATGATCCGCCGTGGTCCTGCACCAACAGTGACTCCAACAACAACATTAAGGATTCAAGGGTATTTATTTGTCATACACGCCACATGTGGTACATGCGGTGGAACGAAATTGTCCCAGTTAGATCCAACAAAAGTCTAAAATGTAAAAGAAAAACAGTAATAAGATCTAAGATTAAGATGAGATTGAAGTGCTGGACAAACCAGGGATAGCCTTAAGTTTTAGAGACGTTCTGTGGTCTGATGAAACTCAGATGAAATGGTTTGCTCATAATGAACATTTGGAGGAACATGGGGGGGCTTGCAAGCCTGAGACCATCATACTGTGAAGTACGGGGGGTGGCAAGGACTGGTGCATGTCACAAAACTAACAGCACCATGAAGAAAGAACATTACGTGGAAATGTTGAAGCAACATCTCAAGACATGAGCTAGACTGGACCCAAATGGGTCTTCACATGGACCCTAGGCTCACTGCCAAGCTGAGGTTTAGGTGTGACCATCACAGAGCTCTGATCAGGCTCAGAGAAAACTTGGCAGAGCTGTGAACGAGGAGGCCTTCACACCTGACTCCGTTCCACCGGTTCTGTGTGGAACAAAATTCCAACAAGAAGCTTATGGAAGGAGACGAGAACGATTTGAGCCAAGTTGCTACAACGCTACCAAGTATGTAAAAATGTGACTTTGAAGAAAATAATATAAAGTCTTTTGTTATTTGGGCATTAAGTAAATAGAAATAATCCAAAGTTCAGTCAGGTCCTCTGGACTGTTACGTTTATCGTTGAGATCAGTCCAAGGAGCCACAACAAACTCAAGTACTCAAAACTCAACACATAGAAGTAACTTTGTGAATCCTAACTGACCTGAAGTCAGACAATAAATAACTTTGTGTCTTTTTATACAATGTGTGTAAACAGCTGTAACGAACATGCGATGTGTTTCAGTGTTGTACTGTATCTGTTCCTGCCAGGAGGAGAACTGTCAGGACTTTTCTGTGTCCTGCACGTCCTGAAGGGTTCTGCTGCATGTAGATGGTGGATGGTAAGAGCAGGGCTCCACGTTAAACCACTCACAGCCTCTCTTCTTCACTGTCTTCATACGGTTGTTCAGACGGCTAACTAAAGCAGAGCACAGCTTGTGCAGATCCTGTGATGGGTTTGTGTTGATTGTTTCTCTGCATGCTTCACGGCCACTCGTTCTGTTCCTCTCATTAACTCACTCGTCTAAGGGCGGTTGACCTTTTTGTCGTCGACTTACAGATGTTCTGCTGTCGGTATGTTTCTGTGCATGAGTGGTGACAAACACGCAGCTCTACTCGTTGAGTCTGAAACACAAGCTGAATTGTCTTTCTGTGCACTGCCTTTTTTTTTTTTTCCAGGAAAGTTGGGAAGTTCTCAAATGCAGCAGAAAGGTTCCTCTGTCATTTCTTATATATAAAAGTTTTAAATCCTTTTTTTTAATTAAACCTGCATCAGAAATGAAATTTCAGTGACTTAATGCAGGCCTGTCACGATAACAAAATTTTCTGTGCGATTAATTGGCTCAGAAATGATTGCGATCAACGATAATATTGTTTGAAATTTGACAATAATTAGTAATTATTGTCAATTTTAATTAGAAATGTTGGTTAATTTTGTGTGTAGTACCTTTTTTTTTTACCACTGGATTGCAGTATAAGATTGTTTTAACCGAAGGATGGATAGTGAGGAAGCAGCAGCGTGTCTCTTTAAGAAAAATGGGAGAGAGGCCCCTTGACATGACATGGGCTGTCTCTTGTTCCTGTTTTTCGGTTCTCAAAAAGGCACAGGCGTCAACCGTGAATTTTGGAGCTTTGACAAGATGGAGGACCATCCAAAAATGTGATTTTTTGACGGTTAAAACAGATTTTCAAGAGAAAAGAGAAAGGGAGGGGTCAGTGAAGAGCACCGGAGTTGAGCCTTTTGTCATCCAGTGTCTTCAGTAGAAAGAGAGAGACACGAATAAACGATAAAGGCGATAAATGAAAATGAGGTTGATAATTTTCATTTATCATGCGGTTAATTGATTTATTGTTTATCACGAAAGGCCTAACTTAATGTATTAAACACAAGTTTTTTCCTCTGAATATAACAAGTTTTATATGTTGGCGGTTTTGTTGCATTTTTAGAAAACTTCCCAATTTCAGTTGTTTGATTTGTACATGAATGTCGTCATTTCAGAGGCAGCAACTAACTCACGTCATGCTTCTCCATTTGACTCTTCTGTCCTCATCGGGCCTCGTGTCTCACTGTGATGCCTTTCCTCCACATCATTTAAACTTCAGCTCCTTCTCGTGGCCTTGACATCTTCATCTCTCTCTCTCCACCCAGTGCACTCGGAGCACAAAGGATGTGTTGGAGAAGATGGTCAACTCCTCTGACTTTCATGGCCTGTGCCCTGCAGGGACCCCAAAGACCTCCCCCCTGGTCCAGGAGGTTCCCAGCAGCGCTCCAGCAGAGCCCTCCTCGCTGTCCGCCGGCTGCTCGCGGCAGCACGACGGCCAGGCCACGGCTCCTCGTTGTCTTCAGTTCAGCGAACGCAGCAGGAGGGACTCGCTGCACTCCATCAACCCAGCCTTCCGCCTGGCTTCTCCGTCGCCGTCGCTCAGCCGCAGCGCTCTGGTTCTCGGCGACGCACCCGACGTCGGTTTCACCCCGTTGCACCGAGGGGAGTGCTGACGCTCCAGCTGCACGCACTGCTGCTTTATTTTTAATCACCCAAAAGTGGTTCTGGATACAAATACACGTTCCTCTTAGAAGTCATGATGCATGATGGGATTTAATGTCTCCAGGTGTCGTTGTGAAGACTTACCGAGTCGTGTGAAAACACAGTAGAGATCTATTTTTAAAATATTTTTTCCTTTTTTTGGACACGGAGCATCCCTCCACACCTTCAGCACAACCTCAGTGTTTAAGTTCCAGCAAATATCTTATGCAAACTATGGTTTAAATGTAAAATGACGAAAACTTCAACTCTAAATGTGTTAAAGAAAGTTAGAATTTATAGTTTGGCTAGAGAGAGACATTTTAAGCCTTGTGTCCTGTTTGTCGTCATCTGAATCCATTTACCAGAAACGATCTGACAGGTTGGAGACAAATTATTTTTGAAGGGAATGAAATGTAATTATTGCTGCATGTTCAATTCTCTTATATAGTCTCGTCAAAGGTCAGGAAAAAACTAATTGGATACAAATATTTAAAGTATAAACACTTTATTTGGATATTTTTATGTATAACAAAGTGAAATGGGTTAAATTTAAGAAGCAACATCTCCGTGTGTTTCATATTATTTCCCTTTTGTCCATTCTCTAACACTTGAACTATCAGGATGCCGCAGCGTTGACGTCACATTTACCGTTTTGATTTTGCTCAATGTGTTTTGGTGTGATCGTCTGGGACGCTCCTGTTAGTGCGTTGTTGAAAAGCATGCTGCGGCTGCTGCGCAGGTTTGTCATGTTGAGTAGGACTGCAACCTTCTGATGCTCCAGCATGAAACTTTTATCTTTGTGATGATGCAACACTCTTCATTAGAGTAAATGTTGGCGTGTGCCACCAGAGGGCAGGATGTGAATATCACTTTGAGTTCAGTCCTACAACAGTTTAGGAGAATTGCCTTTTTTTTTTTTGTAACAAAATGAAACTACAAATATGAGTTTTGCACATTTCTCTGTCTGCAGCGAGGCCTGTAGAGTGTGTAGATGATCACAAGCAGCGCTCGTAGTAAAATATTTGTTTTTTTGTAATTTAACAATGAAACTAACATTTGGTTAGTAAATATGACAAACTTTGCCCTTTTAAAGCTTTGTTTGTCTTCATTTTTGGAATAATAAAAAAAACGAGTTTGGATTGTTTGAAATAGAGATGTGTTGAAAGGTACTGAACAATAAATATCTTACCTGTTGTAGATCTTTGCTAAAAGTCTTCTAAAAAAAGTCTTGTTACTGTGACAGGTGAGCATGTAATTTGAGTTTGTGTTGTTGCATGTGTTTGTTAGCAAAATAGTTCATAAATTACTGGATGAATTTTTATTAAATGTACAGAAATTAATCATCGGATGAACTTATACAACTGATAAAATTTGAGTCATCCTGTTTCAAGATGGCCACCACATCAAATGAACACCAAAACACAACTACAACTCACTCAGTCTTACAGCTATTAAGCTAAAAGTCGCCGTGGTAGTAGCTGAGACTCCTCCCCGTCACACACACTGAGCACTATCAGATTGGGCACATTTCTTCAAGGGATGCTACTTTCACTCTGGCCAGATTGATGAGCTAGTGGCTAGTCTAATGGGCTGCTGCCATCTTTGAACAAAGGCAGTCTTGAAGATTTTATTGCAGTTTTTTTAAACAGTACTTTATAAACCTTTACCAAAGTCTGTTTCACTGGACGTGGTTATCTTGTGCGAAATATTAAACTACTGATGGGAAAGCTACAGCTAGATGCTAGCGTTGCTCCTGGAAACAGCAGTACTGTTTTTAACAAAGGTGATGTGAAACTGATGGCAATGGGAAGATCTTAAACTAGCTCTTTAGACTACACAGTAAAACATGTTTGTTTCCCACTTTGTTTTGTTTATAAGTTTATCCAGAACCGTGTTGGAGTGAACTGGCCAAAGCAAAGGTTGTGTGTTCTGACGTCTCCCTCGTGAAGGAGCTGTCGAACACGTGTGCTCGTCCTGTAAAAACAATGTACTGGTTTCCATCAGATACACTCAGCATGCACCATAACTGAAGAAAAGGAGCCAGCGACTCGAGCCATATGACTTGACATATTTCTTTTTTATTATTATTAGTCAAGAGAACAAAGTCAAGAGAGTGATAAATTATTTCTCCAGTATTAAATCATTCTCTGTTTTGCATTGAATCATCTATAACAACTATAAAGAACAAAAACCACCTTCAAAACGATAACTTATTTAATTCACTACAATTTCACAAGTTTTATTCTTAAAAAAAAAATGTAAGAAGAGCAAAATGATCCTTGAACAGCATTTTGTTTTGGAAACACAAGATTGAAACACGGTGGGATTAATGGGGTTCTTATTATTTTTTATATATATATATATATACATCATTTCACTTCCAAAGACTGAAGCATGTTAGGATATTTTATTTAACACAACAGACAGTAAAACATCTGGCTCCCAAGTTGTAAAGAAGAGAAGAAAAAATTGTCATTACCTCATTAGCTTTTATCACATCACAGCTAACTGTTCAAAATAGATGAAAACTGGAAAAAACAAGTTTAAACTGTTCATTGAGCAAAATGAGATGAGCTGATGTTTCTTCATGCTGCACATCTGTTCAGATGTCACCAAGTTGTTTGTGTTCTGAAGGTATTTATTTTTTTACATTTACCTTCTGGATACTTTGTGCCAATTTAACTATTCATATATCAAAACATTTGGCTCTATTTGGATTGCTGTGTTATGACTTTTAGTACTAGTTGTAACTTGATACTTTAAAAAAAAGCTACTTAATGGAGATGTTTATAGTCTACCATCAGTCGGTGTTGAACTCTGGTGCAGTTTGTGCAGATGAACTCAGCTCTGCTCCCCAGGTGTGTACAGCAGTCTGTCCGTCCGTCCGTCCGTCCGTCCGTCCATCCATCCATCCATCCATCCATCCATCCATCCATCCATCCATCATCTTCCACTTGTTCCAAAGTTGGGCCGTGGGGTCAGCAGCTTGAGCAGGGAGGCCCAGACCTCTCTTTCCACAGCCTCCTCTTCCAGCTCTTCTGGGAGGATTCCAAGGTGTTCCCAGGCCAACCAAGAGACATAGTGTCTCCAGCGTGTCCTGGGTCTTCCCCGTGGTCTCCTCCCAGTTGGACATGCCTGAAGCACCTCAACTGGCTCCTCTCAATGTGGAGGAGCAGCGGTTCTACTCTGAGTCTCTCCCGGATAAATGAACTCACCCTACCTCTAAGGGAGAGTCCAGCTACCCTGTGGAGGAAACTCATTTCAACCGTATCTATCCTCGATCTCATTCTTTCGGTCACTACCCAGAGCTCACGACGATAGGTGAGGGTAGGAGCGTAGACTGACCGGTAAACAGAGAGCTTTGTCGTGCAGCTCAGCTCCCTCTTCACCACAACGGACCAGTACAGAGTGCAATACTGAGGATGCTGCACCAATCTGTCAATCTCACGCTCCATTCTTCCCTCGCTTGTGAACAAAACCCCGAGATACTTGAACTCCTGCACTTGAAGCAGAACCTCGACCGGAGAAGAGCAATACAAGAGAGCGATCTGTGTATATATATATATATATATATATATATATATATATATATACACACAATATAAAGCTTGAAGCGCTTTAAGGTAGTATTTCATTGGGCTGGGACTCTCGGGGGGCTATTTGAAGATGCAAAATTGTGAGAAATGAAGCAAACCTTCATCAACATGTTTGCATCAACTCCCAGTAAAATCTCTGCCAAAATTTGCTGGTGTTTAGTCTAAATAAATAAATAAAAATAAATAAAATTCTAGCACTCTAGAATTACAACAACAAACCTGAGAAAGGTTCGTAATGGATTTGAGATGCTCTCGATTATTTGACCCTGTGAGGAACATGAGAACCCCGTGCATGTTTCAAGACATTCTGGAGATTTCTTTGTGAAGGCTGTTCACAATTTGCCACCAGCTGTGGCAGCCTGTAGTGAGATACTACCTTCAGAAATTTCCTCCACTCCTTTAGTTCATTTGTTTTGGTCTTGCTGTTTTTGCCTCAACGAGTGTGTTGCAGTGGTTTTGGCTGTTAGTGGTCTGAGCTTGTGGATCGTTCGAGTCCTTCCTGCAGGTGCTCACTGGCGTGTGTGATGCTCTTTAACCCCAGTTCGTTTGAGCAGAACAGGCCAACCAGTAAGAGCAAGATTTATTTTATATAGTTTGGCTTTATTTTACTTTACAAAGGTTGTAATCTCAAAGAGAGACAACTTTAAAAAATAACTTTTGTGTGACTAATCCAAAGAAAACTTATTTTGTTTGGATAATTTCTCCTTATTTTCCCATAATGCACGGCACAGTAACCAAAAGGATAGGTAAACCCATCTTTTTCACCTCGTAGCAAAAAGTTCTCACTTTTCTAAGTACCAGTTTACCTCTGGCTGTCACCCTCGACGTGACTCACTGCAGCTCCTTCCTCTTTGCTGAGCCTTGTTTGGCTGTGCAGCTGTGTGTCACACACTCTCACAAGTCTTTTTCTCACCGCTCTCTGGTCTGAGCAGAGCAGGAGCGAAGTACCTCTGCAGACAAAGCAGGTGACTCATGGGCAAAGCTGTTGTGGGCTAACAGCGTGTGTTTCTGCGTGGAGCATTGAGGCTGGATATAATTAACCCGGTGCCAAGCAGAACAAACCAGCCTGCAGGAGATTACAGTTCGTCAACACTCACATTATGAAACACAATGCAACCAAAGCCCACAGGTAATATGAACGCAGAGGATAAAATGTCACACATCTATTATATTATGTGCATTGTTTTGTGTTTAGTTGAAAAGAAATGCTGCTAAATGTTCGCAACAGAAGCAGGAAGTGTTTGAGATCTTAACAAAAGTCAAATTAGGTCAAAATCCTGCAGCTATGAAGCTTGTCTACAGCTGACTAATGTTTGGAGTCACTCTAACCCACTGTCTGCCACAGCTAATCAACACTCGTCAACACAAAAATGACTAACAGCTGATTTTGCAGATACTGAACTAAAATCTCTCATGCTGCTGTATCAATACACATCTACTC